ACGGTATATATATATATATATATATATATATATATATATATATACCGTATATATATAAAACACTGATAACACTGGATTAACACTGGATATAGCACTGGATTTCTTCTTTGTCTGAACCACTGATCCATCAGTGCGTTCCAGTTAGGCAAACAAGGACGTGCAGTTTTTGATTTGGCGTAAGTTTTGCTTTAAAGAAGGTATGTTCCTGCACTTTTAAAGGTTTTATAAATTGAATCTTAGACTGAAAAGTTTCTTTTCACTCCTCCAAATATGTGTTCACTTTTCTACAAACTAACAACAACGTAATCAAATCTTATCACAGCAGATAAGTGAACTTTTGTTGATAATATCACAGAAACTTGCTTAACTGCAGTATCTCAGACTCCGGTCTTTTAGGCCCTCTTGCCTGTAATGTTTCAATTTGTTTCTGCTTCAATAAACCTGAATCCAATAATTATGACTTCATCAGGACTAGACAGGGTGCTGAGGAAGTAATTTAGTCTTTTATTGAGGTGCACTGGACCAGTACACAAGCCCACGATGAACAGAGTTTGAAAGCCGTGTTTTAAGCTATCAGAATATATCATTTACTGATTGCATAGGCGCTAAACCAATCAGATGAAAAAATTAAAACAGGAAGATGAGCACATTTGTACCCGTTAAAACTCTGAAAACATTCACTATGGATCTTTGTTTCAGCTTTGCCAGCCATTGCTGAGCCCATCATGGCAGCTTGTCGTTGGAGTTCGATTTCTGATCTGCTTTTCAACTCAAATACTTCAGAATCAACAGTGAAATGTTTGCCTGTGACCTGCCAGGTTTAGCACGGCATCGTTACCTGAGTTACTGCAAAGGTCTGCTCCATTATTCCACCTTTTGTGATGTCACCAACACATAACACACAAAAAGCACAATTTGCAGGTTTTTTTTGTTGCACATTTCTACACTAACACTATCCATAATAACCCAACAGTATGTTTAAAGTCTATGTTTGGCTGTAATACATTTAACATATTGTTCTTCAGATATTCAATGGGGTGAAGATTTGTGATTTTTGTAATTGTTTGAAAACATATGATGCAATTTCGTGTTTAAAAGTTATTATTTTCCAAAAAATGTCCATAACCCACAGTTTACAATGTGCAATGAGCCATAGAGCAAAATGAATAATCCTAACACTATCACTATGTTTTTAAATTGTAGGTAAAATGAAATAGATGGCACTGAAACAGCCAGTTAAAGCAGAAAATATGAACAAATGTTCATATCCAAGACATTTTCCAACAGTTGTTTAAAAACACATTTCCCTGCATATAAACACATTTCTGAATGCTGCAAAAGGCTGGAAGAAACCACACCAGTTTTTTTTTAGAGCAAAATGAAGCTTTATGAGCTGAAGTGGTGACAAAATCTTTACAGACTGTTGTTTTTACATCCACAACAAACCCAGAAAAGCTGTGAGCCCTCAGAACCTCTGACCCGCCCTCCATCCATACAAGAGTCCACAATGCAAGCACCGTATGGAAGGGATTTTTTGGGATTAATCCATCATGATATCCCTTCCTTCTGATGGATTAGGTTTTAACACAACAAGCGTATTCTATACGTTTACCTCGAGGTGGCAGCATTGTTCTATCAGCTTATATCGGCTGAACCAACACCAACTTTATTAATCTAATCTTCCACTTAAATATAAATAAAAAACACTTTTTTATACATTTGATTTAAGTGTGTTTATGACTCTGGTGTTTAATGCTTCTCTGGTGCTTGTAGAGGTGATAAATTGGGATGAGATCCATATTTTAATATATTTAATTAGTCCAGTGTGATATTCAATGTGTTCCTGTGATTTGTGAGCTTAACATGGTCCTTTCCAGGCATATTTTCTTGTGTAATCCACAATCTGAAGGATTATTTCTGAAGATGCCCGTGGCATCCTGACAAAGAGACGCGCCAAAAATGTTCAGTCAAATTTAGTCTGAAAGGCTTCCAATCCTATTAGACCTACAGATGATTAAGAGCTGAATTCCCACGGCGGAGGAAGAGTGGGAATAATTGGAGGAAGCCAAATCCATTTTTATCATATTACTGAAAGATAATGTCATTGTTCTAATAACTTATTCCAGCACCTTTCTAAATAATGAATGCGTTTGGAAATTGCTTTAAAAATGAGTCACTGTCAAAGGCGTGAATAACATCAAGTATTCTGAGAGCAAATTAATATTTTTCTTGTGTCCTGCATCCCGGGCTCATCACCAGAACAATGCCTGTGCGTTCTGTGCGGCGTAAATCTCTTTACGAGAAGGTGAGGAAGCTTCTGAAGATAATTCCAGAAAAACAATGGGGGGATTCTCAATAATTTTTGTGTGGGTGAACATCATTTAGTGCATGGTCGCAACAATTTAATGAATAAAAATCAGACACTTCATTACCTCCTCTGGTGTCTATTTAATATGCAGGGCTAAAAAAAAAACCCTGAACTTCTCATCTAAAAACAACAGCAGCTGAGTTTGATGTTTATCTACATATGGATGCCGGTTACTACTCTTTAACATGAACACATGAGTATCTCTGATTGGCTCGGCCGAACGCTTGTTACTTTCATATGTTTGTTTTTACTGGGAAATTGCTTTTTCTGGAGCAGCAAGTTGTACATTTAATGTCTGATGTTGGTAAGGATCATTAGCCTTACAAAAGTATCCACCCCCTGTAGCTTTTCTATAGTTCTTTCATGTTACAGCCACAAACTTCAACCTTTTTTGTTGGCGACTGATAAAAATAGTGCACTACTGTGAATTGGAATAAAAAAAATGCACATCATTAGTTTGGTATGTTCTGTAACAAACTCAAAGCTAAAGCTTTAACTGAACAGCTGGATTCACACTGGAATGAAATTACAGAAATATGAATCCCATTTATGTCATCTGGACAATACTTTTGGCTGATATTATCATTTTGTTTTCTTGCATTGGCTACGGGAAAGTGTATTGCATTCATCGAGATAAAAAAGAAATTGGTCTGTTTTTATGAATTAATGTTTTTACAAAGACAAAAAAAAGTTTTTCTGAATTAACATAATTTAAAATCAATAAAAATTTAAAAATCTCTGGATTAACAAAATCATTTTTTTTTTTATTAATGAGATGCTCCTGATGTGCTTTCATACTGGATATGTTCTGTTATTGTTGGCAATGCAGATTTCAAAGCAAGAGGCACCTTTTTTTTTAACCTGACTCCACCAGATGGATTTGCTCCGCATATCCATCTGGAAACCTTCTGTAGAAGTAATTTTGGGAAGGGGCGAAAATACTGGTTAGCTGATTGGCCTATGTTGGTGATAGACGGGCCAAATGAACCAATCAGAAGCATATGACGTAACAGAGGG